AAGGCATAAACTCGTAATCAGTTACGATACTTGTTAATTAAATTAATAAATAAATTATTCCATGATTGCTCAATAATATCAACGTAAAGAAGTGATTCATTTGTTAAAACCAAATAGTTTAGCGGTGAATTTTTTGAGCATTAGATCAATTTCCTGATCTTTCGCAGTCTTGAGATTGCAAAAAAAAAAATAAACTGTTAGCGGGGAAGACAAATTGCGGTTTCGCTGATTGCTGGGGAGGAGAAATGACAATTTGTCATACTAACAAACGAGGTCACGAAGCACAAGTTCATGAGAACCTTTGCAATTCGTACTTTATCGGAGATGATCATTTCTGATCATTCGATGTCTCCACTTTGGTTGATCTACTTTTTCAGATCTATCTTTTCAAAAATGTTTATGCTTCAACAAGTACAAGTATGATTCAAATTCGGTAAAGCAATACGCAATTGTGCATGTGGCTTCTTCATAAACTTACTAAACGATGGATAGGTTACAGAAATTCATTTAAAAGTTCACTCTCAATACATGTCAATTCCTCAACTGATAATCGAATGAATGCGATGAGTGAATTCAACGAACCGAAGTTCCAACGCCAGTGATAAAGCGGAAAAGAAGAAACCATCCATACGTTGGTGCAAACGAGCATGCAACGGCCGCAGTGACTGCGGTCCAAAGGGATATCAGAAACGCATATCGACGGCCGTACAAGTCTGAGAGCTGTGTTGTGAACGGTGTTACTAACAGCCCGCCTTAATTGCTACTTCAGTTACCATTCCAATCGCATACATTATTCAGAGAATGATACATTCAAATTTCGAAAACTTATGTCAGAAACATGCATTGTGTAATGCAATTCGATGTGAACAGCATTCAATAAATTAATTCAGTGTTTGTCAATATGACTGAAGATTTTGAACGGTTGTCTTTATTCCCCCAATTCGGGAAATGATGATTGTCTGACAGTACATAAAAAGATAACTCATGAAAAGAACCCAGTAAGAAGAGTGATGAAGCATGCTGGGCCCAATGCTCATCGCGACAAACCAAGTTGAACTGAAATTTGTAAAACTTTAACAGCCTTTAGGCAAAATTCAATCCTCGTTTCAATCCGAATTAATTTCGATACGTTCAGCAAAACGATCATCGCATGGACAAGCGCGTACAGATTTCGTACAAATGATCGAAAATTCATAAAAGTCTACGATCAAACAACACAGCTCCAATTAATCTTCACTTATTGTTCGAGGAACAACAGCTAATTACCCAATTTTCTCCCAAGAACCTTATAATATAATGTCACTGCCTCACCTCGGAGTTAAGTGTAGTTTGTGGTGATGATTCATTGAATTTGAAAGATGCGTTTGGGATTTCATTGCACAGAATTGTCACGTTGTTCGAATCGTTCACGTAACAGCTGTCGATAATCGTATATTCCTGTACATTTTAGAATCGTTTCAAATCTTAGTTGAGATGAGAATCCGCCACAAAATAACCGACTGTTCATGATGAACATCCGCAGGGGACTAAAGCTTATGTCGAACGCTGTTAAATATATCGTTGATTTCACAGCAAATGATGAAATCGGTTTTTTAAATGATTCGATCCTTAATATGAAACGCAATGATCCTGAGAAAGAATGCAGCTAAATGTGACCAGCATGCTTGTAGTAACCATATTTCTCACGTGAAAAGCTTTGAAAAGTCACCGACCGACTTTGATTCGGCCTCGTTTTGTTTGATATCACATTCGAATTCAGGTGCAGTTGATATGAAACTCATGATCATCATTTGTGACGAATACAACATCAGTACTGCGGTAATCAATACGTATGCCTTCATCTGTAATTTCTTCGTTCCGATTGTGCTGACTCTGCCAGAAGTAATTGAATTTTTTCGCGTTGCATTTTTCGAATATCAGCGAAAACCTTGTAGTTTATCGAACTTAATTACAACTTGTGGCTTACCTGATAAGGTCCATATTTTCCGAAAGCGTCTAGAACCTTCTCGGCATCCAACTCTTTTAGGCTCATCGTAAGTGAAAGTCGTTTATTGGATCCAGTTGTTGACACATCATCATTTTTCGCTGCCTCTGTTGTAAGGTGATCCATCACCGCAGATTTGATTTCAATCGTTGACAGTTTCCGTGAAATTCCTTCTTCGGAACGCCTTCATTACAAACATATTGTCATGACAATTTTCTTGTAAAAGTGACATGAAGAGGCGAAAAAACGGGTGTTGTAAACATGAGATAAGCCAGCATTAGTGATTCGTTATGCAGTAATTTCTTATTCATTACATCTTTATCGTTCGCTAATTTTAGAATTTTTCATGGTCATAAGTTCAACGGCAGCCAGTTTTGAACAATACAGCAACGCTGAACTGAAAAATGAGGCATTTCAATCAACCACTCAAAGCAAAAACTACACCTAACAACAATTCAGACTGCACTCAATAACAGAACAAGTAATCTGTATCATCAGTGAGTAAATCTTTCCGGTTTTCAGTACGGTTATGCAAAGAACCCTCATTTAATTGCGACAGATCGTGAATGATTTGAAAAACATAAGTGACGCATTCAAATGTCTCCTATTATAATCGCTTGAAAAATGCCCTTTGCGATCTCATGTCCATCCCAAAATACTTGAATGAAACTCCGATTGAGCGGCAAATGAGGAAACAAGAAATTATGCTGCGTGGAGCAAAAACAACTATGGTGAACGATTGTGGCCACTTATATTTCATACTTATTATTGATAAGAGTCACTTGTTCGCTGCCGTCCGGCACTGCTGATAAGGGATGAAAACATGTGAAATAATGATAGTTCTCAAAGTCATTGTAAAATTCAAAGTATTTATTGCGTTTCGTTTTTTGATGATTGACATTGCTAACTTAATGGCATCCCTTTGGATTCCGTAGTTTTTTGAATCACCGTCTATTTGATCGTTATCAAGCGAGTTACTTGGCGAATTATATTGATTAAGCTGTTCAGTGAGTGAAAAAATCGCCTGTTTTTTAAACGTTATGAGCATAATAAGAAGCCTAATTGCACTCGAGGAAATTTGAAATCTAATCGGAATGAGTCCTGGAATATTAAACGGATTAAGAAAAATTCTAGTTCTGTAGCAAAAGGAACATAAGAATCTTCATTCTAGCATGAAATCGGAATTTCATGCGATGTTGTACAGTTTGGCTGGAAAAATCTCTGCATGTATCATTATCGTAGCGATTATTATCGCATTGAAATGCTTAATAAACTTCTCCTTAAAGCGATCAGTCATCGATACTTCGTCCTTCCAAGTAGAACACAAGATGAAGAATGGTTTTGAAAGTTCTGTGTGATTGAGAATTCCGAACAATATCTTAAAATTTATGTTTCGGCATTATTGTTTCCCATTATGGCAAATGTGTTTGAATGTGAGAGTTTATATGATGTATGAAAATTGAAGATGTCTTCTTATAGAAGTAAACGAGTTCACTCAATTTGTTTTATAAAATTTACTTCAGTTGAAATTAACAATTTGCTTTATTAACGTTAGCTATTTTTTCATGGAAATATAGTGAGAAAGATTTGGTTGGTGAAAAGTGCAACTAAACCGTGTTCATCAATGAATTTGAAATAGTTTGATGGAAAGCTGGGTCGCGATTTTGGATTGTGCTCATCAAAAACAATGCAAAGCATCGTTTGGGATTGATTGTTGAAGAGTGTTTGTCGTTGATTAGTATTTCTGCAGTATTTCGAATGAGTGCATCCGACAGAGACATAAAATAAGACTGATATTTATCATTGTAGATGCGGCTTATAGATAACATAAACTGTGCTGTCAATATCAGTACATTCCTTCTATGCAGCATTCCATTTCGCCCAAAGTTACATTTTGTTCGTTACGTTATCATTTTCTATTGACCTCTGGCATTGACTTATTCTTTTATAAAATCTTTTCGCTGATCTGTCAGAAGATGCTTATCACTGAACAGGTGACGAAATTCCTGACAGTATCATTACAAAGATCTCGATAATGTTAAAATTCCCAATCTCAATTCTCTTAATTTGTTTTGGTACCATTCACATGCACGAAATTGAACGAACATTTTCCATCGGACTGCTTCCAATCAATTCACACTTTACAATATGAAATTTGATATCTTGATTTAGATGAAGTCGTTTAACGTCTAGTTGCATCTCACCGTCACTGTTGGAAATGAAGAAATTAATTTCAGATGAAAGTGTGCCCCACTCATTTTCACGAACTTGATGCTTTCATCATTTTGGTATTTTTCAACATCATTGAGTTGTTAATCAAAAATGTTAGATATAAGTTTTAAGGTGAAGGTTATGTAGGTGGGCGCTTAATCGAATAAAACATTCTTGATTTCGAAACGCTATAGCATGCAGAAAACGCTTCGTAATTGATTTGTTCAAAACACAAATAGTTTCGTGGTGATTACTCATCATAATTAACAAATTCCACACAAATTTCATTCACTTACGATAAAAGATTCTATCATTATCGATTACATACAAATCATTGCTATTTAATCTTTTTGAGGTTTTGGGAGTTTAACCTGGAGACCTGATGGTTCCTATTGATATCAATTAGCGAGTAAAAATATGGGGCTCAAGGGTTCCAGTCGTCTTTGTAGAAAGTATTTTCATCCGCTGATTAGTAATAGCGTGAATCATAACGTATCAAAGCCAAATTCCCACTCACAATTAGTACAAAACAATGAATGGTAATGTTTTGTGAATTGAAGGTTTACTTTGTTGTTCTTAACAGAGATGATATTTTTTAGAGATTTTTTGATAATATTATCCACCGAGAGAGAATTTGATGCGGAATGAGTCTTAATTTCTCTTTTTTTTTTCATTACAAAATACTTCCTCCAATACGAACTGCACTAAGAATTTCCATGATGAAAACGCCGTACGTCAATGATAAGTGTTTTTAGTGGTATTATCAATTGTAAAGGGTGTAACTGAGTGAGTGCCCGTCGGTGATAGAAGCAAGAGCGGTTGCCTTTAGGGATTGTCGCAATACGGGTTGGTATTTTAGTTTAGTGGGAGTGCCATTGCGCGATATAACATCGCAATCAAAACATCAAGATCTTATCGCTTCAGCGATGAACTTTTTCTCCCTTCTGCGGTTTTAACAATTGTTCTATCAAATGGAATGCCACACTACCAGTGCATCTATGTATCTGTGCAGTTGTCAGATCTGAACACCAGTTCGTATCTTTCGAACCTCGGTGTTACTTTATAATAAACCATTTTCATCCAAATCCTCTTTAACCCAACCAATAATTTTCCTAAGCCATCGTCCATTCCATAAATTACTACAAGCAAATTTCATCGCTCTTCTTGTTCAGCTTCTTGAGCCATGCTGTTTGTGTCATGTTCGAATAGGTTCCTTGAAACGAACGAATGTTTGCATTATTTTCTTAGTGCAACAGTCTTTCTTCTTCTACTAGGCACACCTAGGACGGTTTGTAATCAAAGGTTATAGTAGCATTTCATCTGACAATGAGAAAATTTTATACACAGGCAGCCTTTGGAGTGTTCTTTTTGCAATGAAAAAAGGCACAGTCCAGAGTAGCGTAGTGATAAAGGGATCGAAAGATAGAAATCTTTCCAATTCATTTTCCTCTATTCATTTCCCTTTTTCGTTTATTCTTCTAAACCATTCACATCGTTATAATTGCAGTCTGTGCTCTCAGCAACGAAAATTGGCTGGATCAATAGATTCAGATCGAACTGATAAGCATCTGGCTGCTTTTCCTACTTTCAGTTATTCTATGAAAGCGTCGCGATAAGCAATCTCTGCTTTCGCATTCAAACCACCAACTCACCATGCGAATTCAATCAATTCTTTGTTTTCATTGATTTTCGGGGTTTTGATACGTTTCGTTTTTCAGATTGGTTTGAATTCTCGAAATTTTTTCGTCATTAAAACACTTGATCTAATTTTCAATCAAGATTTTTAATTAAGATAATTGTTTATCTTGTGCTGCTTCGAAAATTTTTATGACTGACTTTCGTTGTATTTGAGAAAATTATCGCGTGCATTTGCATTTGCATTCGATTTGCAAAATGACCACTAATTTCGGTAAATGAAAAACGTTTTCTTGCTGTTACTGAAGCTTATAAACAAAGTCGGCCTTACGAAATCCTTCATCAAAACAACTGGACAATTGGGTTGATGATCGTACGTATTAGGCAAAATTTCTCAGGGTTTTTGGTTTGCTTTCTTGATGCATCGCAACAATGAATCATGCTCGGTTCAGGCCACAATTTAGCGGTCCTGTAAATGGTCAGCACAGAATGATGCTTTCTCAGAAAATTATCCTCATTCTGCATTGCCCAACTGTCGAATAGTTTGCTTAATTCGATACCAGGAACCGTTGTCTTAGAACGGATGTTCGCTGCGATTATACGAGTGACTGTGACTGAACTGAAAGCACTTATAATGAATCATTCTAATTTGTGGCAATAGTCAACCGACGCTTCAAGACGTGCGTTTGGTTATCTGATCTGTCGCTAAGCCTAGGTTTAGAGTCAGTTGCCTGTTATATTCGAAACGCCAAATGAATCGATCGAATTGCATCAGATGAATCGGATTTATTTGACCCATTAAAAGTTACCAACTTTTAGTTGTTTAACAACACACATAAACTGATGAATTGCGTGCAGTAAAGCCTTAAATCGCTCGCATTCTTTCGCATGGCACATCAAATGAATACGTGAACTCTTCTTAATGCCATCGCTTGCAGTGCCTTCTTCGAGGCTCATTTTCTTGACTTTTTTTGGCAAAAATTCTCAATGCGTTCATCTCCACTCAGCCATTCTGTATGTTCAGGGTGATCTCTTCAATAACTAATAAATAGCAGGAATTGTTTTTGATAAATGAAAATATTGCAAAAGGTTGTCAAACCTTTGAAACTGGATCGTGCATTGTAATGATTCATTCATTGAGTTTGTGACTTTTTTAATGAAGCTGGCAATTTGTATGAAAAGAATGCTTGTTTGAACGTCTCTTTCCTCAAAAGCAATGAGATTTCTACCGAAAGTACAGCAGCCATTTTCGGAGAGTTTTTGAGGGAAATATTAAGAAC